CCTGCAGTCCTGTCGCTTCCATACTGTACAATATCAAGAAGGGTTTAAAACAATTTGGCAATGATATGCAACAGTTAAGTATATACAACTGATCTACAAAATAGCTTAATTAACAGTTTCACACACACGCACAAAATTACTGCAGATGACGAGAGAAGCTGATTATCTGAAAAGTAGTAAAATTTCCACTGCCGCTGGAAGTCCTCACTGCTTTGACTAGACACAGAAGTTCTAGGGAAAAATGAGGTCCAAAATGTCAGAAACTGGTAGGTGTTGTCTTGTGTACTGATCAGGACAGAAGGTGCTACTTTACCATCTCTTCACATAAAAGAAATTTCATATACTAGATAGAAGTCTTTACATTATCCTAAATATATTAACAAACCGCTTCACCATCACGTGTCTGTCAAAATTATTTTTTCAGCAAATACCACTGCAAGTAGATTTTTAAGTGCAATTAGGCTACTTTGCATGTCTTGATCAATGTGCTAGTTACAGACAATTTCTAAGAGCTCACACTCAACTCAACAGCCACGTTTATATATACAGTCTACTTATATATACCAGCTAAATTCTCAGCAAACAAGAGGTAAAACTGCAATAAAATCCCAACAGAAGTTTTAGCCAGAATGTTCTGCTTTGGGTTTATAAATGTCTACTGACTGCTTTTGACTTTGCCCACATCTTATCTATGCAAGTATTAGCAACAAAACAGACCTAATTTTTACCAGAATCTAATTCTTCTTGCTGCAAATTGTGGGTCTTTTTCTGTAATTACATTTTTACTGTAGTTATTAGTCTATTTTAAAAAGACTATTAACTATCTCAATTATTAACTATCTCAAGTTTATTTTAAAAACAGACTAGTAACTCTAGTTATTAGTCTATTAGTCTATCCTAAAAAGGATGCTGCTACACATGTCCTAAGGAATGCACCAAAACTAGAAGACATTGCAGCTTAGACATTCCTTAGGAAACCATCCTCCATCCTTTCACTAGAGAGTGCACAGAACATTAAACTCAAGCCCTTCAATTTATCTTTCTGTGCCTTTTGCTTTCTGATTTCCAGTCAGGCACTCCAACAAATCTCTTCCTCTGGAAATGCAGTATGCAGCAAGAAGAACTGTTCAGTAGCGGAAGGGATATACATCTTAGAGCACCCCTTATAGTAATATCACATACAACTTCACCTGCCACAAAAAGGCACTTTTCCTGTCAAAATCAGTCCCATTTTCTTTTGTCCACAGATACTCACTCCTGTTTTTACAAGGAGCAGAATACAAGCACACATATTTGTTCAACTGCACAACAGATTGCACTATAAAACAGATTTGGCTTACAAACGACTCAGTAGCAGAAACAAAGGAGTTAGGTAATGACAGACTAACTCTCACCATGCAGCTAAACAAATAATATTGCTAGCTTCACTCATGGGGTGGCAGAGGAAATATAAGCTTCCAGAGAAACACAGAATAGGAATTACTTATTTGGCAGCAGTTTTGGCTTATGTCAGTTGAAAGCATATGTGAAATTGCAGCCTCGCTTCAGAACTGTGGCTGGAGTTCAAGAGCAGAGTTGAACTTTGTTCAGCATTAAAGAACTAAGGTCAAATTTAATTTTCCTCTCTAAACAGTTACAACAACTAGCACAAAGCAAATCTCATCATTGGTAAAACAAAGTTACCAGCAATCAACAAAACGCAGAAGACTTCTTTAAAGGAAGAAACTACTCAGAGCTATATCAAAAGACAATACAGGTATTCAAGAGCACAAAACCAAACTGTTTTAATCAACCAGACAGTGAAAATCCTTCCCAACAGGTTTATTATTTCATTGTTGTAGAAGAAACCGGTAGCAATGTCTACACTTAAAATTACCCACAGCTTTCCATTACATAACCCACTTCTAATTCACTTTTAATTTGCCAAACAAAAGTCTGTCCTGTCATTTGTTGTCTCATGTAGACGTTGTGAAAAATGTCAGATACAAACAGTTCCTCTACCCACAATAAAATGAGGAAAAACACTAAGTTTATTCATGTTAAAAGTCTTACAGCTCAGCTCTTTCATTACAGTCTCCACTATTTCAAAGTTCTGGAGATGGAATTCCTTTTATATACTCTAGAATGGTCTTCCAGGAAACAAAAGGAAGGTTAAGACCACGAAAAGCTTACACTTTAAAGTCTTAATGTAAATTAAACAAGCTGTATTTCTAACATGTGTTAGTATTTAATACAACATTAAAGCTTGCCTTGGGGGTTTTTCTCAATGGCACGTGCTAGCAACTACTAAAACTGGAATTATCAAGCAGGTTAGTTGTGAAGAAGAGAGATTCTTATGGCTTCGCCCAGGTCACTATTGCAAACAAAAATCAATAAAGTTACCATGAAGTAGTAAGAATGTTACCATCTTTGGGTCAAAACAAGAAAGAAGTCCATGAACAGCACATAAATACCATCATATTAAAATAAGCTTTCACATTATGTCGAATTTTCATCATCAAGTTAGAACAATGTTTTACTTAATAGAATAAGCCCTTGAGAGAAACTGAACTCAATCCTGGATGCTTCTGAAACTGCCACTGCCATTTGGACAGAGCTGAAGAATGAAAATCTGCATTTTCTCCAGTTTTTCGGATATCTAACCTCATTACACATGGTGTTAGACATCAAACATGAAATTCTAATGACCTTCCTTACAAAGTGAAACCTCATTCTAGCAAGTCAAGTTTAAGATTATTCATGTAATTTAACATATTTACATATTTCTACTTGTATGTTTTAAAGATAAATATGAAATTACCCTGCCATATTTTTAGAAAAATCAGTATTTCACTTGATTGTTTCCTCGTAACCACTTCTTCAGCAATAAATCCTAACCATTTTTCTTTACAAAAAATTTCTAACAACACAAGTGTTCAGAGATCCAGAATCATGATTTGATAGGTCTATAGAAGCACACAAAGATTGTTCTTACCTCACATAGCTTCTGATTGCTGAATGAGTTGTACTCCCTTGCACTTAAGTGTTTGGGTTTTTTAAG